AAAAAACATGTAAAATGTCAAGGGTCATCAAAAGCAAACATGTTATTCTATTGGACCTTGCAACCTGTCACTCGAAACTAACACAAAGCACATTTCCTGGAGCATGTGGCAAGTCATTGTTGTACAACCATGGAAGTCAGTATTAGAGGTAAATCTTACATATTTGGCGTCTGCCCACCCGCTCTTGGGAGACCACATTTTCCCCTCTCCCATCAGCCCCAGGGCCAGGTGAGAAAGAGGAGCCAGGTCTCCACTCGCACCCACTGTTCCCTTCTCTGGGACGAAGGAGAGGCAGGAGGCTGCAGAGTGAGTGAGGGAGGGATAAGATTAGTCATATGACCATTGGGGTAAAATAACGAAGTACATTTACTCAAGTACTATACTTAAGAACAATTCTGAGGTACTTGTACTTTACTCAAGTATATGTATATATGGTACTTTTTAATTCTACCCCAACACAACTGAGAGGTAAATATTGTACTTTTTCTCCACCACATTTACCTTGTAACTTTAGTTATTTTGCAGATATGGATAAATGATACAAAAAATACAATCAACACTTAAATAAAACTTTAGTTATACCTGGATTAAATTCACATAAAGTAATTAAAATGTGTTCCACCTTTACAAGCTTGATAAACAAATGAATGCATCAATGATTAAAATGAAAACATATAATACACATGATTCTGAAATGGGCCAATCTGCATAGTGAGTACTTTTACTTTTGGTACTTTAAGTGTATTTAGATGCCAAAACTAGTACCTCTACTTGGGTAACATTTTGAATACAGGACTTTTACTTGTAACAGAGTATTCCTACACTTTGGTATTTCTACTTTTACTTGAGTACAAGAGTACTTCTTCCACCTCTGCATATGACATCCAGCTTCCCTGATACTGATCCCTTAATGAAGGTATCAGCAGTTAACTGAAGCTGATGTCACCGGTCAGACGAGGTAAATGAGGCTCACCGTTGAAGGCTTGGATCATTTGATGAAGCGTTTCCGGAGATATTCCACTGTACCCTTTGGCCAGAACATTGATCCTCAGGGCGAGCAGCATGCGGGTCCTCTCTGGGCTTAGAGGGTTTCCAACACCTACAAAAAGCAAACCATATCATTGGTGGTGCTGATTTAAATGCAACAAAAGCTAAAAATGTTGTCTGGAGCTCTGAAAATGTTTAAATGTTTAATTCTAGACTAGTCATTTAACTTTTTTTACCTGCTGAGTGTGACCGCACCAAGTTCTCCTGCAGCTCCCTGTGGAACAAACACACGTCAGCACATTAAAACCAATCACTCTCAAACAGAAGATTTAATGGGGACAAAGAAAATGCGAAATGTTGTTTTTACTTGAGCTTGCTGACAGGAATGACTGTTCTGGCAAATTTGCCAAAACCTGTTGTGATTCCATAGACAACTGGAGGAACATAGAGAGATAAAGAGAAATCAATACATGGGATTATTGATTTATCAAATGTGCCAACTTTTTAAGTAGCTGGTTAACAGTGGGACCAATGCATTACAGATATTATCCCTAAATAGTTCTTAACCTTTGTTTTCTTTGACAATGGTGTCCAATAGCTCTCTGGATTTCACCACTTTTTTTTCGGCCTCCAGAGTCAGCTGAAAATAGGGAATGATTACGTTAAGTCAAAGATTACACTAACCAGTCATGACAAGAAATACAATTTGTTGATCATTACCTTTATCTTGTAGAGTCCTCTTCCTAAATTGACCAGACCTGTCGATGTCAGGCTGTTGCCATCGAGGGAAAGAAACTGCACAGGGAGAGAGAGCCGTGTTACACAGAAGCAATCAGTAGTAGTATGTTACTACTGCAAGAGAAATGGTGAAATCAACTCTTACCTCCGCGGATTCTTTGTATGCTGCAGTGCTATTTCACATTTTTGATTAAGGATAACATTCAACAAATACAAGTTTGCCCTATAGTTTATTTTTTTCTTGCAGAAATTCAAGAACTTTATGTTATTTAATAAAATACATTGTTGCCCATAAAGGTGTAATGTAATATTTTGTACCTCTTCTCATAAAATTATTGTCTATGTAAATAGGAATAAAAAAGAAGAATGTGTCTGAAAACAAAATTATTCCAATTTTATGTACGACAGTGTAAATTACTTAGCCTAGAAAACTGTTTAATATAGCCTTAACTTAATGAAAAATACAACAGTTTCCACTATTAATAATATCAACTTCAGTCAAGTTAATTGCAACCCAGTTTGACCAAAGTGTAGATCACAGCAGGGAGCTTACATATGGCTCAAACAGTGGAAGGATACAGGTGGGATACTCCAGGCTGACACGGGATAAAGTCAGTGGACATGGTGTCTCCTTGGACAGCTGCAAGTGCAGGATAATATTTTACATCACATTTTTACTTTTATCGACAGTATTGTTAAATGTAATGTCTCGTTTCTTAAAAACTGGCCATGCACAATTACGCACAACAACTGGCATAACTGTCCCTTAAATGTAATTCATAAATGTTCTAACATTTTACATGCATAAAGTCATACCGAGCACGACAAAGTCATTATCCTCCAGCACATCTTCAATAGTGTCATCGGTGTCCAGCAGGCCCAGACCCTGGCACCTGCGCACCACAAACTGGGCGTCCTTTACGTCCTTGATGCCGCCGTTGTCCGGTTTGTTCTTAATGTAGCGTTTAAGGGCTTCCTGTCCGAGCCACTGGATGGTATTGGTGGCGTCCCTGCAGGGCACTGCCAGCCACTCATCTCGGATATGTACGGTGAATCGAGGCATTGCACTTCAGCGGGAGTCTGCAGCAGTGAGGGCTGCTCTCTATGGACTGTACTGTACCTCTCCTCTCCCCCGGGAAGCACCTTCAGCACCTAAAGTCCAGCAGCCAATCAGAAGCTCCGCTCGGGAGCCACGCCGCGCCAGTGACACACCTCTGGGGGTCACTGACCTGCACAGGTCGGTCACACTGATGTTTGGACATACTGACTGAAATGCGTTCACGTGATTTAATCTCAGAAAATATGGAGGCTTTTAGGTGTTTGAATTAGACAAACGGGAAGAGTCTGCTGACTTTGTGTATTGTTGTTCTAGTTGTCAGGCCAGAATTGTCCTAAAGTGATACAACCGAGACAATTCTGGCTTTGCTTTGGAAACCAAAATTAGATACATCTTTTTCGAAAATTACATATCAATAACAAATTATTCGAATAACATGCCTTAACTTGCTGTCAGACATTTTAGTGCCTGTGAATCTTATGTGAAGTGTAAATAAAAAAAATATGAATATGACCAAAAATGACCGGAATTCTCAATGGCTGATATTTACCAAATAAAACATGATGGGGTTCTGATGCATTGCTACTAAAACTTTTTGTAATCTAAGTGGTCAGAGGTGGATAACATGTATCTGCAACATCAACAGTTCATTGACACCTGATGTCATTTGTTGCATGTCCTTCCACTTTGCTCTTCCTACTTTCCATAATATCAAATAAACACAAAAACAAACGTACATCTCAAAAAACCGACCCACACAGCGTAACATATTTTGTGCCAATCGTACTGCTTCTGCGCAATGACTTGACAGATTTACTGTAGTTACTTTAACATTCAGGAAGTTCTGCTTACAATGAATACAAATTTCTTACAAAATTAGGATTTGTTATAACGAGTGCATTGCAACAAACATTCCTGTTTGGAACGGGCCTAATAACTTTGGTCCTGAAAATTACACCTGCCATGACTTAGTTGTTTCTATGATGCTTAGATAACAATTAAAATGTTTTATGAATTATGTTGATATTCTAACTCATTACAGCCCAACATAACTTACAGAAGGCTCCCAAAGCTCTACAATGAAATTGCTTATTTGTTTTTTACTTCTACTTCACAGTAAAACATTAACTTAATTTAGCTTAACAAGAAATAAACTTGTGCTGATGATGTCTCCTCTCATTTTTAACATGAATAGAACATTTGAATGCAGGACTGTATTGCTTTTTTATGATATTCTATAGGCTACTGTGACGTTTTTATGACCATTTTATTACAATTTGTATTATATTTTATCCTACTTTTACTTTAAGTACTTTGACTACATTTTTTGAATTTCACTTAGTGACTTACTTTTACTTAAGTAACATGTCAATGTACGACTTTTCAGTGTTGTGTTAGCAGTGAAGGGAAAAGTATTCCGATTCTTTACTTGAGTATAAGTAGGCCTACTAATACCACACTGTAAAAAAATACAAAATGTTAAGTAAAGTAGGCTACTTCATGGAGAATTGTACTTAAGTAAAAGTATTTAAGTATGATTAGGAAAATGTACTTGAAGTATTAGGGGTAAAATTACTCATTGCAGACATTTAAAAATATATATTTTAAAAGACTTGAAGCAAAATCAGCAAATCTTCACATATAACATGGATCTGTGAAACGAAACACTTTTTTCTGTTAACTTTCTGTTTAGTTACTTTAATATAATGTTTAATGGTTTAATCTATACCAAATAATAATATTTGAAAAGTATAAAAGTATTGTGTGTCAAATTCTAAATTAATAAAGTAACTAATAAATACATCTGTAAAACAAATGCAGTGGAGTAGAACATTTAAAGGAGTTTTAAATGAAAATATTAAGGAAAAGGACAAGTAGGCCTACCTCAAATGTGTACTGTAACTTAATAATACTTTTACTGAAACTTGTAATGTACAAGTACTTAGATACTTTTCCACCAATGGGTGTTAGTACAGGTATAGTATCTGAATTATTTCCGTACTATTGCAACATAGTATTTCTACTTTTGCTGACATACAATATCTGGATTGGTCTTCCACCACTGCTGAAACGAAACACGATAAAACCTCAAATCACATGACTCTTGGCCTGTGAGTGGAAGTGTCAGAAATAACGAGGCGCACCTGAACGCATCGCGCCAGACTGCGGACGGATGATGTCAGTTTACGGGCTGTAGGAGTTTCTGCAGCCCCATGTGTGCGGCGGACGCAGAGTAGGCCTTTCTGCTGGCCGTCAGCAGGCAGGCAGAGGAGAAGAGGAGGGAGGAAAACTGTGTTTACACAGACGGCAAAAACGCCTGGGGAATCGTCGGGGAGAGGAAGTCAGCCGGCTCTGTGTCTGCCTGCTCCAACTTCCTGCTCAGAAAAAGAAAAAGCACAGGATCCTATTTCAGTCCAGCACAACTGTGTAGACCAGAAGTAAGCATGGAAAAACAAGGAATCACTCAGGCTTCACCGTAAAGTTTCGCAGAGGAAAACACCGAGGCAGAAATCGCAGGTAAAGTAAAAAACAGTCTTTCTATGAACAGAGCTTTGATGGCTTATAGAGAGGGAAGTGCATGATTGGAAGTATTACCAACATGAACTGTATTCGCTTTAAAGTTATCTTCGGATCGAGTGTTTTTTGTTGTACTTTTACGCAAGAATAGTACATGTCTAGATGCGGACACAATTGTCTTCCGGTCCGAGCCACATCTTGAATATGAGTCAGTGTGGCACAATAGTGATCCAAAACCTCTGTGTGAGTAAAGGCAACTTTCAAGTTCCGGATACAACTGTCGCCTCCCCAGAAAAGAGACGCAAACAAACGAGGAGCTATGCGAAATATAGTCCACGGCGGCTGTTTGGAGATGCTTCTCTTTTAAGGGCCCCTGTTGAATTTTCCACCGTGTGCGAACAGGAAGAGAGCAGATTTAGTCATGGCTAAGTAATGTCTTTACACACCATCTAATCTCATTAGCAGTTTCCGTTCAGCCAACACTGGATGGCTTTGTGCACACAGCGAGACTTCTCAACCTGAGCATCCACAACAGAGCTCCTGAGTCCGGACCAAAACCACCACAATGTCCCTGTAATGTTCCTAGAAAGTGGTCATAACATGTCTGCTGTGCTGTATCTGTAATTACTTCGCTGTAGGGGATTATATCTCTTGTATTCAAATATACAATATGTATAATCCCCTACAACTGCCTTACTTTACATATCAAATCAGACTTATGTAGGAGGTATGTCTGCCCTACAGGAGCTGCTCCATACTTTAAAGTCCCTCTGTGCTATTTGTGGCATCTTGCAAAGGTGAATGTTTATAAGTCACACTGGCCTAATTGTAGAGCTGTCAGCTCAGTGGCCAGCTTTCCTTTTGCTTCAAAGTGTCTGAACCGATCTGAACCCAGACTTTGGTTTGGGTTTTTAAAGGGTTGGATCTGTGGAAAGATGACAATGACTTGATCTTGTGACCCTCTCCCTTTTGGGATTTTTGTGGGAAGTGTGGCATGACTGGGGAAATGCTCCCCTGCTGTGGGATCCCCTCTCTCTCAACATTTGTCCTTGGAAGTAGAATGGGAGGAAGTCCTGACTCTGACAGGTTTGTAGTTTCACGTGGAAGATAGAAAACTCCGGGGATGCATTGTGTTGGAAATGAGTGCAGCCCTCTCGCTCTCTCTCCTCTCCGGACAGAGACGTGTAGTTTAAAGTCCAGAGTGTTATCATTGTTCTTAAGCATCAGTCACTAATTGTTCCTCACATCCACCGATAAGACGGCAAAGATGAGACTCAGGCAGGTCCATCACTATCTATCGAGCTGTGTATTGCCGAAACAATACCTTACTTTTAGTAGGAACTATTTTTTATTTAACAAAAATAAGCCAAACTTCTCAAACAAATAGCCAAAGGACAATCAAATTGACACTAATGTTAGCAACACTCATTACAGTAAACATCAGATTAAAGAATCAATTGAGACTATAAATCATCTTTGAACCTGATTAGGATCAACTTTTGGAACCTTTTTTTTAATGATAATAATTCCAATGGACTCATTCACCAAAAATGTATTAAAAGTTTAGCCCTATCCACACACATGTCTATCTGATGCTAGCTTATAACTAAAGATTTTTCATCATTGAATATCCTCTTAAACATTCCTCTGTCTCTACAATGTCAGAAAAAAAGTAATGGGCATCCCAGTTTCTCTGACTCCAAGGGGATGTCTTCAAATAGCTGGTTTTGTCCGACAATATCTCGAACATATTCAATGTCCTGATGAAGCATAAAAACCTCACATTTGAGAAGCTGGAAACAACGGCATGTCACGTTAGCTTAATAAACGACTTGACTGTTAATCAATTACCGAAAACACTGCCAATCTATTAATTGCTATTGAACTAATTGATTAGTCCTTTCAGCGCTAATCTGGTGCTGCTATCCATGGTGACAGAAACAGCCCCCCCTACACACATATACACACACTCACAGTATTAAGACGTGAGCTCGTAGCAGGCAGACAGGAGCTGCGAGGCTGCACATTCCTCTATTAAAGGAATAACCCACCCTGGGCCGTCATACTTCCTGTGGAGAGAGGGCCAGGTTGAACCGCAGCATATTTCTGGCTTGAGCTGTTGTTCCTCCTTATACTCTTTTTTTTTTTTCTTCTCTTCTGCTGCTGCTACATCACACTACACTCTTTAAAACACACTGTTCTATTCATCACCGGTGGACTCGTCCTTACACCACATGTTACAGGCCGTTTCCTTCTCAGCCAGTAACCTCATTTAGTCTGTGTAGTAAAAGGAGACTGGCAAGACGGAAATCACCAAAATTGATTTTAAACTAAGATAAAGTATCAGTTCTTGTTCTTAACAGTTTCTCTAAACACACAAGGTAGGTTTTATTATAAATAAGCAATTAGTTGAAGTCTAGAAAATATAAATAATGAGCACAGTGGAGTGCAAACAGCTTACAGGCTGCTTTTCCTCAGGGGTTTGAATTGTGTGTTTATTCTGTCATTTAGCATCCGGCAGGTAGTGTAGGAAGTTTATGCGACTTTCTTCTAGGACACATCGCTGGGTGGCAATTTAACCTTTTTTATCTTGCAGAGAAAAGGCCACAGGAGGACGACATCTTATTATAATAAAAAAACAAAAACATTGAAGGCGTTTTATGTTTGTTTCCAGTCCGTTGTTTTCTCTCACGCTGGTCATGTCTTGCTGCAGGTATGGACAGCGCCATCACTCTGTGGCAGTTCCTACTGCAGCTGCTGCTGGACCAAAGTCACAAGCACCTGATATGTTGGACGTCCACCGACGGAGAGTTCAAGCTCCTGAAGTCAGAGGAAGTGGCCAAGCTGTGGGGGCTGCGCAAGAACAAGACCAACATGAACTACGACAAGCTGAGCCGAGCCCTGCGCTACTACTACGACAAGGTGAGGCCATTTGGGCCATATGAAGGGGTCGCGTTTGGGTCGTAGCTCAACTAATCTTTTCATTGCAGGTTTTGTAACCGACAGGACCTGAAGTACATCTACAAAATGTTGTTGTTCTCTTTAAACCACAATCTTCCCGGATAGACACTTCCACTTCCTCTTTGTGAGAAAACACAAAGTAGAAATCCGGTTGTTATGTACCACAGAGCTGTCTCAGTATGTCTTCACTATCACCATCCCTGTGATGAGCAAGATATGTTTTTATTATTTTCTTTATCAGTTTGCTATACCTACACATTTTCCTCATCATTTGTGCATTTGTGTGTTTTGCAGAACATCATCAAGAAGGTGATTGGCCAGAAGTTTGTCTATAAGTTTGTGTCCTTCCCTGAGATCCTGAACATGGACCCTCAGGCGGTGGAGATGGGTCTGGCCTCTGGCAGGTTCCCCCTGCTGGAGGGAGAGGCCTCAGAGCTGGAGGTAGAGGAGGAGGAGGAGGAGGAAGGGGAGGAGGAGGCCCAGAGGAGAACCCTGGCGCAGCAGTGTAGGAACGACTACCTCCGCTCCGGCCTCTACTCGTCCTTCAGCATCAGCTCGCTGCAGAACCAGCCCGAGCTGCTGCGCGCGCTGCGGGAGCGCCAGGTGGAGCCGCGCTCCGTCATCCGCTTCGGCACCAACGCCAACGAGAGGAGCTCTCCCCCCTCTATTAAGTCAGAGTCCTACATCCCGCCCAGACCATCCAAACACCGGTCCCTGTCCTCCCCCCACACCCACACATCCCGGAGCTGGAGCCCTGCCGTCATCGAGGAAGAGGAGCCCTCCGACCACAGCGCCCAGCCCCTCAACCTCTCCTCCGGGCACCGGGAGCGCGCCATGCAGCCCCCGGAGAAGAGGAGCAGCAGCAGCGCCGGTAGAAGTAGCTCTAGTAGTTACCAAGGAGATGGACTCCCACCAAAAAGCAAAAAGCCCAAAGCTCTGGAGATCTCCGCCCCGTCTCTGCTGTTCTCAGGGAGCGACATCGGCTCCATCGCCCTGAACAGCCCGGCCCTGCCGTCCGGGTCCCTCACCCCCGCCTTCTTCACTGCTCAGGTGAGACCATTTATCTGACTGATGCCCAACCATCACTGTGAGAGCACGGCCAGGTCACATGACTTCACTTTGTGTGTGTTCCCTGCCCGTGATCAAAGGGTCTCCTCTCTCTGACACATGTTGATTGTTTACAGACTCTTAAGGTTATGTTTTGTCAGCACTTTTGGGGGAGAAGGTGAAGCAATGAAATATGATACATAATGTAAGCACGACAGGTTTACAGGCTCAACACCTCAGACTCCTCTAAAACCGGCTTCATATCTATCTAGTCTAAACATGTTTACACACTTTATGATTTCTCCTTGACACATTTTAAAGCGCTCTTATTTCCACTCTCAATCATTTACGGTGGATTAGAGATCGTCTCACTCTGTGCCAGCTACAGGTGAAGTACAGTGACACCAATAATAATCAAATCTATTGAAAGAAGGAGAATAAATCCTGTGATGCTATCTGTGTGCTGGCCGGCCACACAGAGAGGATGGGATCCGTCCAGAGTATGATGTCAGTGCCCCCAAAGCGCTCAGAGAGCAGCCAGAGACATCTGACACAGCCTGGCATGTTTCTGTGGAAAGACTACTGCTATATTTATTTGGGTAGTCACTTGAGCTCAAATATCCTTAAGAAACAGGCAGAGAAAAGGTATGAAAAAAGGTAAATAGGCAGGATTTCAGGGTGAATTTAACAGTTTTGAACAAATGCAAATTAAATCAAATGTAATGCGTCACTGTCTGTGTTTGGGATTTAAACTTCAAAACATTTCAATAAACAGTTTTGTGGGGCAAAAGCCAAAATTACTGCCAGAATGTTTATGTGCTGCAAATAACAGGCCTTATGGAAGTATGTCAACGCTAAAATTAAAGTTAGAGAAAATATAGTACACAAGCAAACTGGAATTCTTCAAGCAATTTGTGGTAGATTTATCTTTTTGTTGTCTAGTGTTGATCAATACGACTGCTTAAATGTGAAATCAGCTTTCACGGTACTGTATTAAATGTGTTCTGACACACATGTAGAGCCAAATTATTCCAGCTGGGACCTTTTTATCTTTGCCATAACGCTAAAGGTATTTTAATAATCTGTTTAATGTGCTTACATTGGCGTTGTTACAAAGCTAAATGACTGCCACATCAGAGGCGTATCCACACTTTGAAAACGCCATTATTACTACACTCTCACTGTCTGTTTATGGGGGCGCAAAAAGGGAGATCAGAGGAAAACAAGCAATTTACAGGAATCTTCAGCAAGTCCAACCTATGAGAGGGGGGAAGAGGCCCTAAGTGATGCCATATGCTCCAATAATTCCATTAATAATGGGAGCGGGGCTGGGTCCCTCCGCAACACTGGCTCACTTCTCTGAGGTGACACAGGGGAAAGTAGGGGGGGAGGGGGGAGAGCAGGCCAGGGGAGAGAGGGAGAAATTGATTTCATATGTTTTCTCCCTGCNCTATTTATCATTTGAAGCCTTTAATAAACCTTGCTGATAGCAATTTTCTCCAGGGAGACTCAAACCAAAAATCAAGGAGTCTGTTGAGCATAAAGGAGACGAGAAAATTGCTATCAGCAAGGTTTATTAAAGGCTTCAAATGATAAATAGCAATACTTGCTGTCAGTCTGCTCTGTGTAAATTAAGATATATTCAGCAGGGTCATGCTAGTGAGGCAGCAGACATTCCTCTCATAACACAGGCAGGCTCGAATCTTCTCCATCCCTTACCGAGATTATCATCCTGTCCGCCCCTGCACTGAGAATCCCCTGGGAGCTACTTAACCTCACCTGCCTGAGGTAAAGTCTGAAGGGTAGATCTTCCAGACACGTTACTATCCATCATAACAGCTTCAACATTAATGTTATCCTCATTCCAGCACCCACAGTCAAATGTTTTACGGCTCTCTTTTTCATTAAAGTGTTTTTAAAGCACTAAATAAAAACTAAATGGCACAGTCGGTGGAAAAGTAAAGAAGATTTTTTTCTCTCAGCAGTTTTAGCTGGGAAAGCCAGAAGGCATCTTCATTATTAACAACAGCCAGCAGGTCTTCTATCAGCGTTCCAAGGTCACTCTCTCAGTCAGATCCTCACGGGCCGTCTCATGTGACCAATAATACTTTTTGTAAGACAGGCGCCTTTCAGTGTTTTTACTATCACCATATACAATAGATCACAGTTTCTGACAGCTGTTCAACATGGGCATTTTTAAATGAGAACTACACAATTATGGTCAATTAAGTAATTAAAACATCAATGTGTCCCATCTCCATTCTGCATGCCAATGGAATACACATGCTGCCATGACAACAAATGTGGGATGAAAAAAGTATATCTATCTAATCTAATACACTAATTAGTATTTAGTATAATTTTGTGGAGGTAAGTGTACAGTAGATTACTTTTGTATTGATAGGAGCTGCTGAGATTATTTTTCCTATTCAACATTTCACAAACAACAGGTAAAAGCACACATCTGAAGTAGTTTATATGTTTATGAGGATCATCGTATTTTCAGGCAGTGAAAAGAGTTTCCTTTTCATAAATACAATACAACTTTCAAGAATTTCCCAAACCGGGACAAATAATTTCCCAAACTGGTATCAATAAAAGTATATCCTTCTAATTTATTTATTTATGAAACAACATCTACACAGATACAACATTTGGACAGAAAATAAATTGTGAAGATACATATCGTTTTTAGTAATGTAAAACATAGGGTTACTATCAGTATGATGACCATGATACAGGGGAAGCAAGCAAATTGTTAAAAAAAAAGATTAAAATGTGATCCTTGATATTAGAAATGTCCACCTGTTTGGCAGTATTTCAGTGCTCACCCGTCAGATACAAACTAATAACGCACACCTGTAGTTTGTACAGTGATAACAACCTGATACACTTCCTCTTGGTCTGTAATACTGTATGTTTTTTTTTTGGGTTGCTTTTATTCATGCCATATGTTAGTGACACAAGTACAGTTCGCCCTCTGTGGGTTTTCCGTTACCACTCTCATAACACTAAAACATAAAAGTGGGGCACATCCCCCTGCCTGTGCTTCGTGAAGGTGAAACTCCCACTCCTCCTTTGTTTCTGTGTCCACTTTAAAACCCAGGCTTGTGCTCAGTCATCTGGTGAGTCTTTCCTGTGCAATAAGCGAGCGTGTCAAAAGGTGACATAAAATATAGAGCATAAACTTCCAGAAGGGTCGGTGGAGGGGGTGAGGGGAATGTGTGTTGGGGCATTTACTCGGGGTAAGAAGTATCAAGAGACTTTCTAGTGTAATTGTATAATATAAATACCCAACTGTTGCTGCCAGATAAATTACATCATGGAAAGAGTTGCATTTTTGGACAAATATTTACATACCGCAGATCCTTTTTCACTTTGGTGTAATTTCAGATGAAACTGTCTGATAAAATGAGGGCGAGCTGAATGTTATGACTAGAAACAAGCAGACAGATAGCAATGATAAACGTCATAGAAATGGAAGCAAAGAGAAATAAATATAGTGACAGAAGGTGTTTGGAGCCCGTTGTTTATTGCCTTTAGCCTGTGGGCAAGGCACCTACCATCCTCGCCTCGCCTGCAGCGTGTCTGGCTTTTTGTCTGGCTTTTACAGGAGAGTAGACACATTAGTTGCAAGGGTTGAGACGGTTCAGTGAGCTGAAGGTACTGGGTGACATGGCAGCATTGGGAGGGGGGGATATCCTTTTACAGTCTGGAAATAAAGCAGCACTGGTCCCTTGTCAGTCATCTTATTGGGCCATTAGATGTCGAGGCCCCAGCAGCACCACTGAGGTCCAGCAGCAGACTGCAGACAGGCAGGCATAGAGGTCATTTAACATGAGAGTAGTTGTTTCATCCCATGTTTCCATTTGGTATTTAATTATCCCCTCTGACTGTACTGTAATGTTTGGCATTATTCAAAGGTTCATACGCCTCGGCTTGTCCAAGCATTGAATATGATTATGGCAATAACTCGTTTTTTTTATTGACAAAGAGAACAGTAATTTCTCCTTAAATGGAATAGTTAAATTACAGTTTGGATAATATGTTTATTATTTTTCTTGCTGAGAATTTGATGTTTAATGTAAATATGAAGTACAACCAGCAGCCTGTTAGCTTAGCTTAGCAAAAAGACAGGAATTAGCTAGCCTGGTATTGTAAAGTAACAAAATCCACCTTCAAGCTCTTCAAAAGCTCACGTATTAGATGCTACATACAGTATCTTACTTGTTTAGTTATACAAAATCTGAAGTGTGAGAACAACACATTGGCGTTTTCTTGGGGGGTTAGGTATAATAATAATAATAAATTATATTTATATAGCGCTTTTCTACAACTCAAAGACGCTTAATATAATGCTAATATGATTATAATATTAGTATAGTCCTTTTTGTTTGCTGGTTGCAGTAACCTCCTGTTTTCTCAGCTGACAGGAATCCTGAAAGTGAGGGTGTGCAACAACAAAAAAGGTTTAGCACATTTTATAATATGCTATTTGTATTGATTAAACAAACAAGTTATAATTGTGTTAATCAGTTAGTTTTAGAGTTGTTGTTTAGTTGATTTTATTACTAATGGACAGCGCAACGTTTTTCCCCTGGTATCAGTCTTTGTGCTAAACTAACCTAATCCCATGCTGTCTGTATTATCTTCTTATCACTAAAGCGAATAAAGGTATTTCCCAAAATATCCTTCTGTGATTCAGCTCAGTAGAATTCAAGAGGTGAAGCAGTGCAAAATGAAGAACAGCTGGTCTTAAAGAGAGTTAAGGAATTTGTTTGTCATGTGTGTTGCTTTCATCCTGCCAGGGGAATACACCACAGACTGGCTGAGATTAGACATCCTTCCTCTGCAGCATTTTTCACGGTGACTCCTGGGATTTTAGGATCTAAAAACATGCAAGTGATGTACAAAGACCTTTGCCCCGGCGGATCATCTGGAGACAACCAAAATAGCCCATGCAAATCTAAAGACATACAGACGTGAACCCTGTTTGGAACAGAACAGGCTGTCACTGACGGGACTAGCAGTATTCA